AGAAAGAAAGAAAGAAAGAAAGAAAGAAAGAAAGAAAGAAAGAAAGAAAGAAAGAAAGAAAGAAAGAAAGAAAGAAAGAAAGAAAGAAAGAAAGAAAAATAAATCAGCTTTATGTTGTAGTTGTGGGTTTTCATGTTAATGCAACTGCTCAGTTTATTTAAATGATAGATGTCAGGCTTATTAATGACCTCATTACAATAAATTGTTCTTATTGTTGAAATGTACTTACAGAAAAATGTTTGGCAGCTCAAGTGCCTATTACTGATAAATAAGTTATTAAAGATTATGAAGCTATATGTGTGTGTTTGTGTGTGTGTGCACACTGTTTGTTGCTTTTAGCTTTGAACTTACTACACATTTTTTTCAACATACTTTTTTTCAATGCTCATCGTGAATATTTTATAGTTTGACGCACCGGAGCTGCTGTTGGAGTTTCACTGGTAATTTACTCCCTATTATAGGATGTTTTTATGAGTCATTCATATCAAACCACATGTCAGAAGAGAGCCCCGCTCTTTACATTTGCAACAGCACCATCAAGACTCCAAATGTCTTTCCAGCAAACTCTTGGTCCTCTGCAATCCAAGCGCATATTTTAGTAGTAGTTCATGGTTTCAAGTTATACCTAAATGTATGTGTATGGATATGAAATTTGTGCAAACAGTTCAAATGTAGCCACAAATGTTTTTATTTTTAAAGCAGTCAAACTTGAGCCTCTTCATCCAGGCTTCAATGCAAAAGCCACACTACCATCTTCATCCTCTCTGTGTCTTACAAATACAACAATTTCAGCTCATTACACCATTTTCACTGGTGTAGTGTTCACCTCATGGTGTCCCTTTTATTTTTTTTTTATTTATTTTGCCTGATTGCCACAGTCTATTCCAGACAATTAATGTTGATGTGTCTGCTGCTTATCTGCTTATCGACTCTTACCTGGAGTAAATTTAATTGGTGATTTCTGAGGCTGGTAACTGAAATGAATTTATCCTCTTATCCAGCAAAAACAGAAAAAGGGGAACATTCAGATCTTTCTTTCCTGTAGTGATGTGAGAGCCAGTTTTATCACACTGTTTGATGATTTTTGGAACTACTTTTAAAGAAACGTTCTTGAAATGGTTCAGACTTATTTACCTTTTGCTTACTTACCGTCTGACAGTAATCATGGTGCCATGAGTTTGGTGGTCTTACAAGACGGGCTATCATTTAGGCTAAATGAGGCACTTTTTCACGACCCACAACATCAATATATAAACATCTTATAGTTGAAATCCATTCTTGCGGGTTAGTTAAATAAGTGAAATTGAACAGGTGGTGAGCTGATCTGAGAGACCGGGACGATAGTAAAGAGCAGCAGCTCAAAGTAGTGAAAGCAAAAACTGAGTGAGCAGGTGTTACAAATCTTTTGAGTGGTGCCTCACTTAATGGTAATTTTTAGTTTATATGTTTTAAATAAGGCACAGCAGCTCGGTTTCATGCTTGTGCTTTGATCTTTTGGAGGCTTCCAGACAGTATGTGATGTTTAGTGGGGATAAAGGTTCAACACTGTCATAAGTGTGCAGTGTAGTTTCACTAGTGGAATGAAAAGTGTTGCATGTGGAAGGTGATGCAGCCAAAGAACTGCAGTGAATTTCTTTTGAGATCACAATAATTAAAAGATGTTTCATTTTGAGGCTGTTTAAAAACACTCAGAAAATGAAGTGTTTCATTTTGGGTACTACAGCTTGCCACTGAGGCAATACCCTCTAAGGTACTGCTGCTGTACACTTGACAGGTAGTGCTCATTTGTACTCTTGTAATTCGAAGCTACCGTACTGAGAGCAGTCTGAAGCCTAGTTGGTTAGGAACAGCACTTAGTATGTCAGATCCTTCACTCGGATACATAATTAGCACCAAATGTAGGGAGAGGAAGTAGGTGGCAGATCTGAAATGAGTCATAGTGTACTCTTGTTCCTAAGGTTTACTCCTGCAGGAAGCGCTAGTTTGATCATTTACGCAGACTGCAAAACTACCAAGGGAAAAGGTTTCATATTCAAATTCTTCTTCAATCTTATTTAAGTAATAGCATTAACCTGAAGTGTTCCATAAAAATGATCTTTCTGCTTATTTCTCGAACAGTGTAAAATTTCAGTCTGACGGGGAATTCAAATTCAATCCATCACTGGTTTCATTGTTTCGAAACAGATGAGCCAATCGTGGTGAATGATGACAACAAAATCTCAAGAAGTTGAAAGAGGCCTCTCCATGAAATTATATCGGTATTGGCAGTGTACAGAGACACGATTTGAACTCACAGCACTTTAAATTTCCAGCCACACACAGATGGTTAAGTAATACAATGATGATGAAAATAAACAATGAAATGTGAAATTCTGCTTAAGCAAAAAGAAAGTTGGAAAGGAAGCAATAACGCAGGACTGAGGAGCTGCTGTATCAGATATAGAACACTGATTCATAAAGACAGTATGGTGTGTGTAGGACTGAATGAACTTACTTTATAGTGCCATGGTGTAATTTGTAAATGACTTGTGGCAGGTCAGCACACTGGATGGATGGATGTGTGGGATGGCACTGCTCTCTGGCATAGCACTTATCCAATAAGTGGATCTAATGAATTTAAGGAGAGGCGTGAGTCATTTCAATAAATGTTCTCCTAGTAACACCACAATGAAACAAACAAAGGAAGAGATGGGGAGACTATTTTTGTGTTCTGACCAGACAGTCAGTACTGCTATTTTTCAGTCCTTTCCAGTGCTATAGGTATCCCATCATTACAAAGACTTTGCAACAGCAAGTTCTGTTTTGTCCTGACGGCCATTCTTTGATTGAGGTTATAAAATGTGTGGCCTTTTAGACGTAAGTAGTGACTTTGCTAACTGATTTAACACATAGAAGGACATGTGTAGGCAGAATTACAGGATGGAAAAAGTCTTCCACCTGTGTGCTGCATCAGTTTTGTGTGTTCTCAGTCTGCTTATGCAACGGGATTCAACTAATCTAAGTACTGAGAACAGCTCAACTGTAGAGCAGGGGTAATATCAATCACAGGGACTGATGTGAGTTAATCAGTAGCATTACTTGCTTTTAATTACTGTGGTTCTGTCAGCCTGAAACT